TCACAGCAGCCCTGTGAGCGAGGCAGGACAGTGGCAGTCTTTGTGTTGAATACAGGGAAGCGGATGGTTTGAGCGGCTGCGCAGGGAGAAGGGGAAGGAACCAGGACTTGCCCAGGTGGCGCTCCCAGTCCTGTGTTCTTCCTGCTCTGCCCTACAGACGGAAAGGCTGTGAAAGTTTTCCCATGCCTTGTGTTTTCTGTGTGCATTTTGTTTGTTTCATATATAGTTTGCTTTACTGACTAAATGTTATTTCTTTTCAAGTCCCGACAATCACCTTTTTTATGGTAACCGAGCTCTCTGTTTTCTCCGCACCAGACAGTTCAGGTAAGTCGTTGCAGCGTTCCAGCCACTGAACTGTCATGTTGAATGCCCATGTTGGAAAAATATTTCTTTTGCAGGTATGCAAGAAAACCCTTCAATAGTTTTTGGCAGAAATAGTTAAATGGTTGGAAAAAGAACTCTGTAAGCGATATATAGTGATGGCAGTGACAGCAGGAGCTATTCTGATTGCCTGGATAACATGTTATGAATTATTCTAAGTACTTTACATATGTGACTTAATTCTCACAACACCCTTAGTAGACAGGGACGTTATTCTCCACATTCGTACTCGGACGAACTCACACCATTAGTAAGTAGTGATGTCGGGGTTTGCACACACATCTCACCTGATGATGTCCGAGTCTGTGTTTACAGCACCGGTCATATATCACCTTTTTTTGCTCTATTAATTAGTTCTATAGTTCTGGAAGAATTTTTGTTGTGTTTGTTTCCTCCACCCTGGTATGAAATAATTAAGTAAATGTCTTTCATAAGTGAAAAAAAAAGAAATTTAATGGTTTAACTATGGAAATGAAATCATAATTCATTCTTAGTTCCTAATGTCAAAGCAAGCTTTTCTTTACTAGTTGGGAAATATTGTTAACACTACAGAATCTGTATGCTGTTTGTTTCCCTCAGTCTAAAAACCTCAGGACATAAATGATTAAGCAGTAACATTGAGCAGAGTAGGCTGTGTCCTACTCTGGTAAGTTTAATTGTGTCCTGCCTTACTGTAAGGTTAGGGTGGCTTCATGAATACATCTACTCAGTAGAAGTGTATCAACTGCAACAACAATTAAAATAAAAAATATATATTAAAAAAAAGAAGTGTATTAAAACCAAACTAAAAAACCAGGTTAGAGCCCGGGATCCTCATAGTAAATAGGTATGAGGCCCTGCTTAGTTATTAGTTATAATCCATACTGGTGCCTGACCTTTCAACAGGGAGGTCAAAATAAAAGAAAATTTGACAAATTACCTAATTCTCTCTATATATGGAGAAAAAGGACGCCAGTTGCTTTGGTGAAACAGTGTTTTTCTGGTGTTTGCTTCTGGAAGAAATTTCTTACATGGTTTACAAGTGGTACAAGTTGAGTGATGGAGTAGAGAAGAACCTCAGCAATATGCTGTTCATAAAAAAAAACCACCACCACCACCTCCCTGACAGCGCTCTCCGGGGCTTCACAACTCTGTGACGTTCTCTCATGAAAGCAGTCAGCGTTGGCTGTATTGCAGTGAAACCGCTTGCGCCGAGGTGTGATGGTGGAGAGTAGGCAAGATAGGATATTCCAAATTTAGCTTTTAAAAATAACCTTTATCATGTTTTTCTTCTACCATAAACAGAAAACATTCTCATGGTAGAACACGTGGAAAACGCAAGAGTGTAGAAGGGAGAAAAGATGGGCTGTGGATGCGCGAGGCTGCCTAGAGCAGAGGAGCGGATGGTCCTGACGCCGTCTTCTGGCAGCCCTCCCGCCGCCCGCCGCTCTGACGGGGGAGGGGCTGCCGGTGACGTTAGGTTCCCGCTCTGGCTAGGTGCAGAGTCGCAGATGTCCTGCGCTGTTTGAAGGTGCATCTGGGTGCTTTCAGCATGAATAGGTTGGCAGCTTGGCTGGCTTCTTACGAAAATCGAGATGCTAATCTGAAACCTTGAGCGGGCAGAAGGTCATTCCCTCTGCATGGAGGAGCTCCGAGAGCTGAGAGACGGACAGACCAGGGTGTTTCTCCCCTCTTTGCGGAGTGTCGGAGGCTAGACACAGGGGAGCCCCTCAAACTCCGCTGCAGAGGAGGTGCAGCCAAGTGGAAGTATAGAAGCCAGCTGTCCTGGTGAGGTCAAGGTCTAGAGCAGGGTTGTGCATCCGTCCTTGTGCTGCCTTCCTGACGCTCTAGCACGTGGTTCTCTGCCACTCGGGTTTTCACTAGAAGCAGGTCTGCGGCATTTTCTTCTCAGGCAGTAATTATCCGTGTGTACCGGATGCCTCCTTAACGTCAGAGTCCTTACGCTGCACTGGTCTTGCTGGTGTTTCCCACCTTCTCGTACATTGTTCACATGACTTGCTAGTAATGTCGCCATAATGTTTTCTGAGTCCACGGTACGTAGAACTCCCGATTAAGAGAGCAGACAGTGTGACTTCAGAAAAGAACATGTTGTCAGAAGTGCCAGTGACATAGGAGGACAAATGTCCTTTAGCTGAGTTACCAAGATTGAGGTGCTTTGACGCTCTCCCACCCGAGGGCTGGCAGACCTGTCAGGGGAGTCTGGCTGAGCTCGGGGCAGGTGGGGCCGCTCGGAGCACTTTGCACATTCTGACTCATAAAACCCGGACAGCCCCCGAGAGGCAGGTGCTTCTGTCCCTTTGTGAGTGAGGGGCCAGGGAGGTCGGGCAGGTGTCCACGGGCACTAGGTGGGTGTGGTGGAGCCGCAGTCAGACCGCAGGCAGCCTGGACTTAGAGTCTTTATTAACCCCCGCAGGAAGGTGGTGACAGAATCCAAGGGCCATGTGAAATGTGAAAAGAATTAAATAAATGGTCCAAATAGCCAATAAATATGATTATCCTTACAGGACAGGCAGGTTAAAAACCTGCGTCTCTCTTTCCTACCCGTCAGACTGGCAAACATTTAAAAAACTGATTACACCAAGTGTTTGAGGGGGTGTGGAACAAAGGGACCCGCATTGTCGGCTGGAGGACGCGCAGACTGGCGCCATCACGTCGGAGAGCAGTGTGGCAAGGCGAAGATGTGCGTGCGTCCTCTGCGGCTCCCGCCAGACTCTCAGGCGTGTAACCGAGAAGAGCTGTGCAAGGCGTCATTATAGCATCGTTTGTGAGAGTCAAGGATGGGAAAAACCTGAATGTCCATCAGTACGGGAGCAGGTGCATCAGTTATGGTGTATGGTATATTTGTACAATGGAATCCTGTGTGGTTGTTGAAATGAATGCAATATTGAGTAAAAACGCACGTTGCAGAATGATTTCTATGGTCTGGTGCTGTTTATATAATTTTAGAAACATGCGAAATGATAAGCATCTTTATAATTAGTGTGTATGAAGAATGTTTTAAAACACACGGGCAACTTCAGACACTGGGGGAGCGGCTGTCCCAGGTGGAAGGGAGCCGGGCCGGAGGTGGAAGAGGACGGGCACAGCAGGTGTCAGCGGTGATAGACTTCAGCCAAAGGGTCTGAAGCAGACGTGGCAGAATGTTAAGATCTGGCTAAGCTGGTACATGGGTGTTCATTATGTTAATGTCAATCTCTATACTTTTATGTGTACTTGAGACATTTGATAAAAAGCAACACTAATTAAAAACGCACATGGTAAGAAGAAAAAAGAAAAACAAAAACAGATCACGAAACGTCAAGGATGAGACAAGTGAAACGTAATCTGGAGAGAAATCCAAGGAAGACCAGCAGCGGGGAGCCCGCTGGGGTGCGGGAGGGGTGTGAGGGAGGGGTGTGTGGGGAGCACACTTCCTTCAGAAGTGGTCCAAGTGGTGGTGGCGGTTTTCAGTGCCGGACGGTCGCACAGTTTATGAATCAGACCTCCTTTCAGTGACTGGAGGCGAGGCCGGGAGCCAGTCAGCACCCTTATCACTCGGCCAGGTCTGCGGACCACTTGGGAATGCAGTTGGAGTGAAGGTGGGGGTGGGGCTGGTGGCAATGTGCTGTCTGCTGTCACAGCTTGTCCCTGCTGAGTCCTGCAGCCCAAGGGACGCGTGCCATGTATCCTAGAACCTGTGGCTTGGTATTCTGGAAGCCCACTTTTCAAACACAGTTTTGGTAGTTCAAGGACATTTGAGAATAGGAGTTGTGGCCTAAGTAATCAGAAATTTTCAGTTTAGAGGGAAACCTGGAAAAAGGAATTAGGCACATCTGTAGCTTCCATAGTTACAGTGGTTACGCAAGGCATAAGGTTAGGCTTTGCCTAGTTAATATTTAAGCCATTCTTGTGGGAATCGGAGGCAGAAAAATAAAATTCTTCGGTTGGAATATGATAAACTGTAAGGGAAACTAATGAGAAAGGGGAAGCTTTGCCCTGGATGTTTTTGAATTTGAATTTACTTTGGAAAATTATGGAGTTTTTAAACTTGGTGTTTATTTACTTTGACCTTTTCCTATTTAGTTCCCATAATAAAATATTCCCTTCTATTAGATCCCAGGTTGTGATCGATAGCAGGCAGATAGTTTAAAGGACAACATCTCTCCCTCCTTCCCCTCTCCTGAATTTCTTTGAGGCCAGAGGTATAAATCGACTCCATTGTATGATCTGTGAGATTTTCAAAATCCTAGTTGGTTTGGTGAATTATTTCTCACTCTGCTTTCTTACCTGTGTGATTTTTATTTTTATTTACAAGCTGCTGAGTTTGTTTTTTCAGTCTTCTTTGGAATGCACCCACTTTTTAAAAAATCAGGTGACAAATTGCAGAGTCACCCAACTCAGACCCCTGCCCTGTCCTCTCTTCAGACCCTTGTATATTTCCGTATTTTATGCCCATATAAGCAGTTGCCAAGTTGAACCAAATGAAGTTGCCATGTTTGTGAATATAGGTGATTTCACTCAGTAGTGTCTTTTTTTTTAAACATGGCAGGAGCACACTGTGCACACTGGGTACATCTTGCTTTATATTTGAATCTTGGAGCTCGCTCCATATTAGTGCATATAGAGACCGGCCCTTGTTCTTCCTCATGGCTGCACAATCCTTTATTGGGTGGATTATGTATTTTTCCAGTTTAAAAATACATCACTCTAATGATTACCCCTTTATGTCCTATACTCGGGTGCAAGTATACTTGTAGGATAATTCCTGGTAAATTTCTTCTACTTGGATGAAAGAATATCTATAATTCTAATTCCAGAAGCTCACTTTTGATTTAAAAATTATTTACTTAGGCAATGGTATCGGTCACTGCACATTGGGCAGCGACTGACCATTATTACATGTGACTCCTGTTTCTGTTGTGTTGTAAGAGCTGGAACCTTGGGGAGTAGTACTGTTCTTTCTTGGTTGGTCTGGACAGGCCCTGAAAGGGATGATTTATCACTTAGTGGGGGAAAGTGATGAGCCTTTAATGGCTTGCAGAGTTCTTACTTATGTATTGTGGCTTGAGAGAGGCAGTAGCATTTCTTTCCCTTCCCAAGTCCATGGTCAGTCGTGAGACAGGAGCTGAAGATGGCCCGTGGCGATCCGGTCTCACCCCACGACTGAAACAGTTGCTGGAGAACTGGGCCTGCAATCTGATAGTCGGAGGACTCACTCACCCGTGGCCACACACAGAACCCGGCGTCAGCGACCCTTGTGAACTTCGCAGCTTGGAGGAAGAGGGAATCGGGTGTTAGGTCGGGGTTTTAGACGGCATCCCAAAGTGAGAAGAGGCGGCTACTCCACCTATGATTAGTGCCCCTCCCCCGCCATCTAACCGCCTGCGAAAAGTTAGGGATAGGGAGAGATTAATGTAGCAAACCCACATGGAAGCTTGAGGAAGGAGTAAGTTCTCTACTAACATTTTAGGGCAAAATGTATCCTATTGTTTATGAGGAAATGGGTGCTGGGGCTGAAGAGAACGCTTTCCCATGGAGCAGAGCGAATTGGAACACCGGGGCTATACCGCTCGCCGACCCTTTGCTCAGCCCTCTCACCACAAAGTCACACAATCTTGGGAGTTTCCCCATGTTCAGGGATGTCACTGCCCCGCAGGTCCTGGGCTACAGTGGCCCACACACCATGCAAGGCAGTCTGCCCACTCTGCTTTAGAAGCAGAGTGTGGTCATATGCTAATCAGTGTGAGAATGATAGTATTACTATACATTTCTTCAATTGGTAATGACGGTCAGATATAGTATACATACTGCGATAAATATAAACTATAGTTTAATAAACGCTCAACAGATATTGGGGTTCTGTTTATGGTCCGGTCGGAAATGCACAAAAGCCCTTCTAGACAGCGGGACCGCAGTGCGACAGCCTGTGGGGGGGATTAGTGGTGCGCCAGGCGGCCGGGGTACAGAAGAGGAGGGTCCTGTAGGCTACCTGAGAGCTGCCAGCCTTTGGGGGAAGAGGGTTTGAAGCCGAGGGGGGATGGCGTGGTGGGCGCCGCGCGGTCAGGCGGGCTGCAGCAGAGGAGGGCGTGCAGGGGCGCAGCGGGACGGGGTTGTGGGGGCGGGGTAGGAGGCTGGCGCAGGCCTCCAGGCCAGAGGGGACGGTGGCTCGGAGGGTGGAGTCGGTGGGAATGGAGAAAGTACTTTCGAGGCAAAATGAGCAGGTTGCGTACGATCTGGTTTTTCGCCTATTCCGAGGCTCCCGCCTTCTGCACGCTCGCGGGCTCGGGGGCCCTGGGAGGGAGGGTGGTGGGCAGTAGGACTTGCCCTCACGCTTGGACTTTCGGCGCTGCGGGGCGGTCCGCATGGGGATGTAGTGCTGGCCGCGAGGTGCGTGGCGAGGGCCTCCCCGCACAGCTGTGCACAGGACGCATGGTGGGGATAGCTACCCTAGGTGAAGCTGCAGGCGAGGGGAGATGCTCCCGGGAGGGGTGGTCGGCCTCCACGGCTCCGGAATCGCTGGCGTGTTGGAGAAATAACAGCCTGCCCGCAGGGCCTGGTATGATGTAATCGGAGGTGGGGCTTCGAGCAGACCCCCGGACCGTGCTGACGTGTAGCTGGGGGTGGGACCTGCTGGGCTAGAGCAAGCGCGCTGCGGCTAGAGTTGCGCAGTTGGGAAAGGATGAGCCCGCACGGGAGGCTGCCCAAGGGCAGCCTCTGGGCTCCCGGGAAAGCTCAGTGCGGCCTCTTCGCGGCAAAGGTGGCCCGCGATACCTGCCACTGCTAAGAAGCCGAAGAGACTTCGGACTTAGCGTCGTGGGCGCGATTCAGGTACCAGAGGGTCTCCGTGCTAGTGGGAAGCTTGGAGCCGACGCTGGGTAGAACAGGTTGAAAAATGAGAGGGAGGGCGTGGAGACGCCAGCACAGGCGGCTGTTAGGGGTGTTTGGGAGAGCGGGGCAGAGGGGAGCAGAAAAGGCCTGCAGTGGTATGCGCAGTGATTCCCAACCATTTTGGCAGCAGCGATGGGGTTTCGTGGAAGATGGGGTGCGGGGTGAGGGGCGGAGGCGGGGCTAAGATGCGCTCTGCTAGCCTGCGCGCTGTGGTTGGATGGGGGGGAGACAGAGGGCGGGGCTCAGGGCCGATTCACTCACTGCCCGGGTTCTGACAGGCTGCGGACTGGTACCCGTTCGCGGACCGGTTCCCGAAGGGCGGCAGATCGGTACCCGTTCGCGGACCCCGTTTCCGACAGGCTGCGGATCGGTACCCGTTCGCGGACCCGTTTCTGACGGGCTGCGGGTCCGTCCCTGATGGGTCGCGGATCGGTACCCGTTCGCGGACCCGTTTCCGATGGGCCGCGGATCGGTACCCGTTTGCGGACCCGTTTCCGACGGGCTGCAGATCGGTACCCGTTTGCGGACCCGTTTGCGATGGGCCGCGGATCGGTACCCGTTTGCGGACCCGTTTCCGACGGGCTGCAGATCGGTACCCGTTTGCGGACCCGTTTGCGATGGGCCGCGGATCGGTACCCATTTGCAGACCCGTTTCGGATGGGCCGCGGACCTGTACACATTTGCGGACCCCTCCCCAACGGGCCATGGATCGGTACCCGTTTGCGGATCTCGTTTCCGAAGGGCCGTAGATCGGTACCCGTTTGCGGACCCCGTTTCCTACGGGCCGCGGACTGGTACCGGTTCGCGGACCCGTCCCTGATGGGCTGCGGATTGGTACCCATTTGCGGACCCCGTTTCCGAAGGGCCGTGGATCGGTACCCGTTTGCAGCCCGTCTCCTGACAGGCAGCGGCCCGGTATTAGGATGTTTGGGCTACAGAGAACAGAAGGCGGTTTGAACTGGTTTAAGTGGTGACGAAAACTAACCTTATTCGAGAGTTCCAGAAGATGGAGGCTGACAGTGTCGTCAAGGTCCTGGTGTTTTTCCAGGCGGCTGCGTGACCTGGGTGTTCTGCTGCCACCTATGGGCGTCGGGGTGCATTACAGTCTCCCGCAGAAACATGACTTGGCTGTAATCTTCAAAAAATACGTACTGAAAACGTAAATTCGGGCCGCAGACCGGTACCCACTTGCGGGCCCCGTTTCCGACCGGCCACGGATCGGTACCTGTTCGCGGACCCCGTTTCCGACCGGCCGTGAATCGGTACCCGTTCGCGAACCCCGTTTCCGACCGGCCGCGAATCGGTACCCGTTCGCGAACCCCGTTTCCGACCGGCCGCGAATCGGTACCCGTTCGCGAACCCCGTTTCCGACAGGCTGCGGATCGGTACCCGTTCTCGGACCCCGTTTCCGACAGGCTGCGGATCGGTACCGGTTCGCGGACCCCGTTTCCGCCAGGCTCCGGATCGGTACCCATTCGCGAGCCCTGTTTCCTATGGGCTGCAGATCGGTACCTGTTCTCGGACCCCGTTTCCGACGGGCTGCGGACAGGTACTCGTTTGCAGACCCGTTCCTGATGGGCCACGGATTGGTACCGGTTCGCGGACCCCGTTTCCGAAGGGCCGTGGATCGGTACCCGTTTGCAGCCCGTCTCCTGACAGGCAGCGGCCCGGTATTAGGGTGGTTGGGCTACAGAGAACAGAAGACAGATTGAAGGGGTTTAAGTGGTGACGAAAACTAACCTTATTCGAGAGTTCCAGAAGATGGAGGCTGACAGTGTCGTCAAGGTCCTGGTGTTTTTCCAGGCGGCTGCGTGACCTGGGTGTTCTGCTGCCACCTATGGGCGTCGGGGTGCATTACAGTCTCCCGCAGAAACATGACTTGGCTGTAATCTTCAAAAAATACGTACTGGTGATACATACATGCATACAAAATGGTCATTCATAAGCCTAGAGTTTGAATTTTCGGAAACCAAACAACAGTCACCAGGAGCCAGATCACAGCCGCAGTGTCCCCGAAGTCACTACCCACCTCCTCGCCCAGGATGTCTACGGTCATGCCTGCCAACGCCACTGGTGATTTTTGCGCAGTGTGAACAGTCATACAGTATGTGCTCTTTCACGTTTGGCTTTCAGCATTGTTTCTGAGATCCGTACTGTTGTCTGTGGAGTTATATAAAGTGTTCATCCATTGCACGAATATACCAGGTTGTATCCATTCTCCTGCTGATGGACATTTGGGTAGTTTCTAGTATTTGGCTTTTACAGGTGATGTCGTTGTGAACCTATATACTCACTTCTGATGAGTGTGTAGTCAGGGACAGGGCATGCTTATATTCAGCTTTAGTACATAATTCCCAATGTGTTTGTATGACTTTCTCCTGCCAGCAGCCTATGAGAGTGTCAGTCCCATGTCTTAACTAACACTTAACTTTTCTGTTACTTCATTTAGCCTTGCTGGTGGGTGTGTAATGATGTAGCACTGTGATTCTAATTTGTATTTCCTTAAGTTGAGCATCTTTTCATTTGCTTATTGACTGCTTGGATTTTCTCTTACCGTTAAGTGCCTGTTAGTATTTTGAGTTGAACGTCTTTATTTATTAGTTCTTTTTTAAAAATTACGGGTATGAGTCATTGTCAAATATGTGAATTACCAACATCTTCTCACACTCTGGCTGGCCTTCCTACTCTAGATGTTTCCCCAGCAAACTGCTGATTTTAGTGCGGTGCAGCGTGCCGGTGATTCCCTTTATGGGAGGCGCTTTTCGTGTTCCCAGTCTCTGCCAGCTCACATGTCACCCACACGCTGTGTTTCTTCTACAGTCTGGATGGTTTAACTTTGGGATTTAGATCCATAGTCCATCTGGAGGTGGTGTCTGTGTTTAGTGTGGGGTGGGGTTCAAGATTCATGTGACTGTCCAGTTGGCACAGCACCGTTGAAGAGTGGTTTTCTCTATGCACTGCAGTGCTCCGTTGTCGTATAGATCAGGTGACTACAGGCGAGGATCTGTTTCTGATTGCTGTTTCCTATTCCGTTGGTCACTCATCTGCCTTTAGATAGCTTTTTCTTGTTTAAAACCATGTTTATAGCCTTTCACTGGGTATTACTATATTATAATATTATATTGTAGTCTAATATTAATCCCTGGAACAAATCTAGGTATTAATACCTAGTTTTGTTCTTATAATCTCTTTTGAAGAGGGATGAGTCAGTCCCCTTAGGAATCATTGGCTAGCTCTAGGTCACATGAGTACCCCCAAGCCAATCAGTGCAAAGGAGAGTGGCTGTTGCCATGATGGAATTAAACTAGTTAGGAACTGTCTCTGATTCTTGTTGTTCCTAAGGTAGACACAACCAAAGGCTAGTAATCAGGTTGGGGTTTGGGGGAATAGTTGTTGGGTAGGCTACCAACAGTGTTTTCTCATGGTTTAAGATGTATTTTTGTGTTTGTTTTTTTAAAGATGAGAGAGATCTGAGCATATTAAATGTTGATGAGAGGTTGTGCAACCGTGTGAATGTACTGAATACCACTTGAACTATGCATTTGAAATGGTTCAGGTGGTAAATTGCGTGTTACGTACATTCACCATGATACGGAATGGATTCCTGAGGGGGAACTGCTAATATACAGGGGAGAGAAGGGAGAATTGATACTGTGAGAATGGACCGGGTGGAGAAATCGGGTGCATAAGGAAGAGCAGGAACACCTGTACTGCAACAGTAAAGGAGAAAAGGTAGGGCTGGGTAGGGGTGTGTTGTTGCTGGTAGGAAATTGAGAGTTTCCTTTGATGTCTCTAGTTTTCCCTTTGAACTCAGAGCAGAGGTCATCTGCTGAGAGTGAAGGGAGTTTATTGGAGGTTTGAGGACAGGACATACGATTTGAAAAGATCATCTCCAAGTCAGAAAATGGTTTGACCTAGTACAATGGTTTAGCAATGTTGAAGGCCCCCTTCTGCTGTGTCATTTTCTCCAGCAGTACTTAGCTCCCTGGAGATGGGCGTGGAGAAAGCAGGAAGTGGGACTGATCCCAGAGTTGGGGCTGTGCCGCAGGGCCAGATGTGCACACAGGGACGAAGGAGTGTAAGGAATTAATAAGCACGTGACCGTGAAATGATGAACCACTGACTCTCGGGCTAGCTAAATAAGGAAGTAAAAAAGCAAAGAGGTTAAGTCAACGAGTTGGGCACCCTGAGGAGATAGCAGGAATAGTTGAACAAGATGGAAGGAACTAGGTTATAGGGGAGAGTGGGATGGCTGAATGAGTGATTTTTGGAGGGTGGAATAGTTTTGAGTGATCAGTTTTACGGGAAGGAGGGGGCAGCGGTGGATATCTGAGCTGGGGTGGAGGAGGAGGGCTTAGGAGATAAGCCAGGAAACTTAGTACTTGACAGTTTACAAGTGCTGATTTAGTCCCTTCCTCAAAACAGGAAGGACAGAATTGTGACCCCCCGTTTTAGATGAAAAGCAGGCCCTGAGAGGAGAATAACTTTCTAACAGCCCCAGCGAGAGTCAGTGATGGGTTGGACGCCACCGTCTCACGTCCCAGCTTTCGTGCTCTGTCCACTAGACCCTGGCAGGGGTGTCGTGTGAGGGATCTGGGAGCTAGGTTTCTGCAGATGGGAAGTCTTGCTGACATGCCAAAAATTGTGCAAACAGCTGTACAACTGATAACAAGAAGCTGGGCGCAGATTAAAATGGAGGCAGGCTGTGTGCAGGAAATACCCCAGAAATATGGAAAGCAGTTCTTCCTGGGTCGTTGTGATCATGACTCTGGATGACTTTTCCCCTTGTTTTAGTTTTCTGCATTTTCCAAATTTCCTATCATGGATGTATATGAATTTTTAAAAATTAAAAAATTAGTTTGTAACTAGATTATATATGGAAAATTCAAAAAGTACAAATAGAAATGCAATCTACTACCTCTATGAAAATGAACATGGGAATATTTTATTTCTTGTTTTCCTTTTTAGAAACGCCCTTGGTGATGGAAAGAGAGCCATCATTCTAAAGAACAACTGGACAAAGGTAGGTTTCTCTTGTATTTTACCTTGGCAAGTAATGCCATACAGTGCGATGGGAAATGTGCTCAGGTCACAGGTTGTACGTTTGTGTGTAGAAATGCTGGATAGAATGTGCAGGGTTCGAGAGCAGGACAGGGACTCTTCAGTTCCACTGTCAGGAAGGAGACCGAACACAGCAGTGAGGCTGCATGTGCCTGAGGGGAGTAGGTTGCCTGTAGGAATCTTGACCTTGGGGGCACCTTCCCCACTGAGGTACCAGCATCTGCACACAGCAGCTGGGTTGAAGACCCGAAACACAAAACTTAAAGCGCAGAAGGAACTATAGGAGATGGTATTGCTCACAAATTCTTATACACAAACTAGTGAAAAAACATAAATTTGCTTGTATCAAACTTCAACATCTGTATGTCAAAACACCCCGTGAATGAAATCATAGTCTGGGAGGAGATAATTTATCTTATGTATGGCATATATAACTGATAGGGTTCATATCCGGAATATGCAAAGGCCTAAAATGAAAAACCCAGTAGAAATGGGCCAATACGCAAGCATTGCACAGCAGAGGAACTCTGAGTGGGCAAGAGAAGTAAACTCAGCTCTGTTTCCCAGCAACGAAAACTGTACAGAGACAGAAAAACAAAAGCAGGAGCGCACACTCGAGAGCCTCTGAACAGACCCACGTATGCGGGAGTAAATAAAACTACACGGTCCCGTTGGGGTTCTTCAGATGGGCAACAGCTAACGAGGGGAACAGCCCTGAGTGTGGGTGAGCGTGTGCCGGCAGGAATGCTCCATGAACCAGTGGTGCTGAATTGGTTCCAGCCACCTTGGGGAGCACTGTGATGCGCGTATGCAGCAGCTCCTTGGTTCTAAGTGTGTGAGCCCCGCGAACAGCCTTGCACATGCGCACATGGTGCGTTGTGCAAGGTTGGCCACCGCGACAGTGTGTTGATGGCATGCCTAAGTATTCATTAACAGAGCCGTGGACAGATGTGGTTTTTACACTTGATCCAGTCATTACTATGATCTGTCTGATTTGTCCTCTGTCTTTTTTTTGTTTTTTTAAGATTTTATTTATTTATTTTTAGAGCCTGGTCGGGAGGGAAAGAGAGAAACATCAATGCGTGGTTGCCTCTCATGCGCCCCCTACTGGCCCTGACTGGGAATTGAACCAGCAACGCTTTGGTTCACAGGCGAAAGCTCAATCCACACTGAGCCACACCAGCCAGGGCAGAAGTTTTTTATTTTTATTTTTATTTTTATTTTTATTTATTTTTTTAGAAGTTTTTTATTTTAAGTTTTTTTTATTTTATTTTTTTTAAGTTTTTAAGTTTTTTTAAGTTTTAAGTTTTTAATTTTTTATTTTATTTTATTTATTTTAAGTTTTTTTTTATTTTATTTTTATTTCAAGTCCACCTTGTCAGTTATTTTCTTTTGTGGATCATGCCTTTGGTGTTACATCTAAAAAGTCATCAAAATACCTAAGGTCATCTAGGTTTTCCCCTATGTTATTGAGTAGGAGTTTTATGGGTTTGCATTTTCCATTTAGGTATGCGATCCATTTTGTGTTCATTTTTTTGTGGAGGGTGTAAAGTCTGGATTCATTTTATTTTTGCATGTAGATATCTATTCCAGCATCATTTGTTGGAAAGAC